CCCCACTGACCCACTCTTCCCACTCCCTCCCACCCCCTCCTGCCTCCCCATACTATTATCTGTGTGCATTGGTTATGCATATATGCATGTAAGTTTTTTGGTTAAATCTTCCTGCCTCCCACTCCCCTTCCCTTTGAGGTTTGTCAGTTTAACAACCAATTTGTACTTCTTAATCCCGTCACCTAACCCTAACCCCCCTCCCATCTGGCAATCAATAAAATGTTCTCTATATCTGTGTGTCTATTTCTGTTCTGCTTGTGTGTTTTGTCTGTAGATTCAGTTGTTGATAGGTATGTATTTATTGCCATTGTATTGTTCATATTTTTGTTCTTCTTCTTCTTCAAGAAGACACTTTAACATTTCATATAATACTAGTTTGTTGTTTATAAACTTCTTTAGCTTTTTATTGTCTGAAAACTTTATATGTTCATCAATTCTAAGTGATAGCTTTGCAGGATAGAGTAATCCTAGTGTTAGGTTGTTGCTTTTCATCACTTTGAATATTTCTTGCCACTTCCTTCTGGCCTGAAAAGTTTCATTTGAGAAATCAGCTGACAGTCTTATGGGAGCTCCTTTTCTCTTGCAGCTTTTAAGATTCTCTCTTTGTCTTTAACCTTTGGCATTTTGATGATGATATGTCTTGGTGTGGACCTCTTTGAGTTCATCTTGTTTTGGACTCTCTGTGCTTCCTGGACTTGTATGTCTGTTTCTTTCACCAAGTTAGGGAAGTTTTCTGTCATTATTTTTTCTTTTCTTTCTTTTTTTTTTTTTTATCCTCACCCGAGGATACTTTTCCATTTTTTGTACAGATAGAGTGGGAGGGAGAGAGAGGAAGGGAGAGAGAGAGAGAAACATCGACGTGAAGGGACACATCGAGTGGCTGCCACCCGCACAACCAACCAGGGCCGGGGACAAACTGCAACCGAAGTACGTGCCCTTAGTGGGAACCGAACCCGGGTCTCTCCGGACCGCAGGCCGACGCTCTAACCGCTGAGCCAAACTGGCCAGGGCTGTCATTATTTTTTCAAATAAGTTTTCCATTTCTAGCTCTTCCTCTTCTTTGGCACCCCCATGAATATGATATGCTTGAAGTTGTCTCAGAGACTCCTTATACTATGTTCATAGTTTTGTATTCCTTTTTCTTTATGCTGTTCTGATTGGGTGTTGTTGTTTTTTTAACTTCTTATTGTTTTTTTCTATATTGATTTTAGAAAGAAAAGAAGGAAGAGGGAGGGAGAGATAGAAACGTTGATGAGAGAGAACATTGATTGACCACCTTCTGCATGGCCCACTTCTGACATGTGCCCTGACCAGCAACTTTCTGGTGCATGGGTCGATGCTGAAACACTGAACCACACTGGCCAGGATGATTGGGTGTTTTTTGCTTCTTTGTATTCCAAATCAATAGTTTGCTTATTGGCTTCAACCACTCTACTATTGATTCTCTGTAAATTAATTTTTTATTTCAGTTAATATATCCTTAATTTCTGACTGGTCTTTTTTCATGCTCTTGAGGACCTCACTAAGTTCCTTGGAGTTCTCATTAAGTTCCTTGAAATTCTCACTAAGTTCCTTGAGCAACCTTATAACCAGTGTTTTGAACTCTGCATCTGTTAGATTATTTATTTCCATTTTGTTTAGTTCTTTTCCTGGAATTTTGTTCTGTTCTTTCATTTGGGACATGTTTCATTGTCTTCTCATTTTGGCTGCCTCCCTGTGTTTGTTTCTATATATTAGGTAGAGTTGCTATGTCTCCTAGGCTTTTTAGGGTTGCCTATTATAGTAGGTGTCCTGTAGGGTCTAGTGGCACAGCCTCCCTGATTATCCCAGCTGGGCCCTCAAAGTGCACCCCTAGTGTGGACTGTACACCCTTCTGTTGTAATTGAGTCTTAGTTGCTGTTGGCATATCAATGGAAAGGATTTACTCTGGCTGATCAGCTGCAAGGACTGGCTGTGCCTGCTGACCACTGACTTCTGACCACCTTGGAGGATCAGCTGTGCAGGGGCCCAGCACACAGAGCAAGACTTACTTCAGCAGGTTTTTGGTATCCACTTAGTCCACTCCTTGAGTGTCATTTGTGGAGGTGGTTGGGTGGTGGTTCTTTGCTTTTGTCTGAAACTGTCCATTGGGTGTACTTGCTCTGGGGCAAGGTCACCCACTGTCTTTGTTCTACCTGGGGCCACCAGGTATAAGCAACAAAGCGATCTGCAGATGACTGCTTCTTGTGCCGGGTTTGGGGGTGCCCAGACAAAGTCAAGCTGTGAGCCAAGGCTGGCTGCTTCTAGTGCTCAGCCTGGGGCCATTTAGTGAGAGTTATGGAGCTTGCTGAGGCTAGATGCTATTTATTTTAGAGAATTTAGGAAACTCTGAAGCAGGGGCCAAGACATCCCAATCCTTTGGTAAAGCTACTGGAAACAGCTTGGGTGAGCCTGAAAGTTGGATGGGGCAGGACCTCAGCGTATCACCAGGGCAGGGCAAATAGTGTGAGCCAAGTTGCTGGAGTCCTAGATATGGTACCTGTCTCCTGGGTCCACGGGGAAAGAGCTTACCAAAGGAACGATGGCCTCAACCAACATCTCTCTTTGGGAGAAAGCTGCTGCTCCAGCTCTCACCCTGATGCCAAACAACTCAGTTCTTTTCCATGCCTCTGGTGCCTTTCAAGCTGCCTTCCCCCATTCTGGAGCCTGGAGGGAGCTAGTCTGAGTAAATCTGTGCATACCCTTTAAGAGGAACTGCCTGGGACTTCAGCAGCCTCAGCCTCCCCTCAGCATGCAGGCTGCTTTGCAGGTGCGCATCACATGAAGCAAAATTTGCCTAAGGGGAATTTGGAGCCTGCCAATATTTCCCTGTGGACGTACTGCCTGTGAAGCTTATTACATCCAGCTTTGTTGTTGTCTGAAGATGGTCACTGGTTTTATTTATTTGGGCCTCTTCAGCTGGTCTCTGGTGCAGGCTAATGTCAGACATTGTTTGTGACTGACCCTCTTAGAGCCACACAGCTTGTGGCTCTCTTTTCTGGGACTAGGTGGCTGTGGAATGGATCAAGTTGCACACCAAGGTGTGCTTTTACTAGCCCTGAGCCCAGGAGCAGGCCAGGCAAAGACACAAAGCACCCAGAGATCCACCTCTGCCTGTAGTCTGACTGTTAGTCTCAGTCACTTAATGAGTTTCAGGTTGTAGTCTTCAGCAGGGTGTAAACTCCATAGGTTGGAGCTTTAGGGTTTCCAGTGGGCAGGGCTATTGCTTACCCCACGATAAAGCTGCATTGATGGTAAAACTCTGCCTAGAAAGATGACTTCTTCAGCATCAGGGAATGACTCAGCACAGGGATCCAGGCAGCTATCCTCTCAGCTCTCTCCCCAGAGCCACCATTATCAGACTGTCCTCATGCATCTCTAGTCTACTCTGCCTTCCCCCTGCCAGAGTCCAAGGTGAGTGGCTACAAACGAAATTTAATGTGTTGGCTGTTTAAGAAGGTGCCTGAGTTTCTAGCCATCTCTCCCTGTGGAATAGAACCTCCGGTGCTTTTCACAGCCAGATGTTATTTGGGTACCTTTCCTGGTTCTGTTACCCTGGGATGGGGAGCCCATTTTGGGGTTTAGATCCCAGACTTCGCAGAATAATCTGAGATATTCTTCCAGCACTTCATCTGCTGCTTGTGAGAGCCCAGCCAGTCCTCTCATGCCTCTGCACTTCCTACCAGTCTTGAAGTGGTCTCCTCTTTACATCCTTGGCTATAAGGGTTCTCCTCAGCTAGTCGTTAATAGGTTAATCAGGGTAATTTTTCTGTATCTTGGTTGTAATTCAAGTTTGGTCCTGGAAAGTCAGTGTAACTTCCACTTAATTTGCCTCCATCTTGGAATCTCCCAATACCCATTTATTTGTGGAAATTCTGTTATTGTGTGGTCCCTTTCTCACCTTTTCTGGAATTGTTTTCTTATTCTTAGAAAAAATTGTGTGTTTATCTTAGGTTTAATTGTTTTGCAGTAAGGCTTCAACTAATGCGAAAAAAATCAGGAGAAACCAGTTATACTATTTTTTGTAACTATACTTTATTCTAAAAAGTATTTAGTAAGTACTTTTTACCATTGGTGATACATTACAAGATTACAAGAGCTTACAGTTTGGGTGAAGAATAAAAAGGCTCAAATGCATAAGAATGTATATATGTAAAAGAATTACATATATATGTGCACACACACACACACACACATATATATACACACACATATGTAAGTAAATAATTTACTTGGTGTTCATTCATCACACTCTTACTGTAGGCAGGGCACTGTTCAGGCTCCTGGGCTGGGTTGGGGAAGAGTATGATAAAGATTTGTACATGTATAGTTTTTGCCCTTTAAAAGGAGCTTATGCTATGGTTGGCATAGAAAGTACATAAAATGCTAAGTATAAGTAAGTGATGGTGCATAAGCATTAGAAAATAAACAGTATTCAGGGTTCAAACAAGGGATTGGTTATTATCAGCTGGTTCATTTAAAGTTAAGCCTTTGTTGAAGAAAGTGAGCTAAAGTGGAATTTTGGGGATGGGTAAGATCTAGATAAAAGGTATTGGAGATGAAGTTAGACTGTTAATGCAACAATTTCTTCTCTTTTCCTTAATTTTAAGTTTAGACAAAACTATGTATATTATCTCTATAAATGGAATGCAGGAAACCCAGGTTTTTAGTTACATATTTGCAATTAATAAGCTGTGTAATCTTGGACAATTAAGACTTTTAAGGTAAAAGATAATCTTAAAACTTCCTACCCAGTTGTTTATCTAGGTTAACCCCTTCGTGTCTTTGATGTCTTCAACTATAAAATTGGAATCATTATTTTCTTAATTTCACTGCATTATTATGAAATGAAATTTTGTAATATAAATTTAAGGTGTCATCATAAGTATCTTTCAGATGACTGAACTAGGTTGGCTGAACTAGATTTAAGAGATATATTCTTTAAAATTTGCTTTAATACTGAAACTTTTACTTATTTATAGATTGAAAACTGTAACTATGCAGTGGACCTTGGGAAGAATAAAGCCAAGTTCTCCTTGGTTGGCATTGCTGGACAGGACCTAAATGAAGGGAACGCAACACTGACGCTGGCATTGGTATGGCAGCTCATGAGAAGGTAAAGGCTGATGCATTTGTAGCAACACTGTGTTTCCTTCAACAAGTCATTTCAACTGAAATTTTAGTTCATTTCAAAGAAGAACAAACACAGAAGAAATATACTACAAAAATATTAATTTTTAAACTAATTACCGTTGGTAGTATATTCTTTGTACATAATTATTTTTTAAAAAGATGGATACATCTCTAGAAACAATCACTGTCCTTAATGTCTCTTAAAAACTGCTTTGTACAGAGTTTTTAAAATTTTTTATATACCATATACTGTAGTAGTTTTTGTTTCTGATTACTGAGATTTGTAACTTTGGATCGTAACTTAAATTAGAAATATTTATTAGAAGTGAAATATTTCCTAAATATGTATCTAAGTATCTAAATATTGATGTAAATGATGTGGGAGCAAATTTTACCCCTTTCAATCTTAAATATACATCTTTTCTGTTATAGGTACACATTGAATGTGTTATCAGATCTTGGAGAAGGTGAAAAAGTAAATGATGAAATTATAATTAAATGGGTCAATCAGACTCTTAAAAGTGCAAACAAAAGTACTTCTATTTCCAGTTTCAAGGTAATCAAAAGCTATTTAAACATTTTTTTTGGTAAGAAATTAAGTTTAGGAAGAAATTTTTATTGGAACTTACATTGGTTAGGCTCACAATTACATTAATGTTATATCTCAGGAGCACAATTTCTGAGCTTAGGCATACTAATTATTTGGCATGTGTAAACCAAAAATATAGTTTGAATTCATAGATATTTTATTGGTTGTCCTGTTGAATATAAATGCAGGTTAATGTTATCAGACTCTGATAATCTAATCTTAAGAAAGAAATAGTAAAAAATCCAATTGTCAGATGAAAAAGAAAGCTAAGAAGCATTGTTTATATAGGACCTATGATGTTTTGTGCTCCCTAGCAGCAGTCTCAGAATTGTACTGACATCATTTCCAAGGCATAACAGAGACAGCCAAACCGATTCAAGTGGGAATTCAGAAAACTGGTAGGAAAAAAAATCTTGTCATGTGGCTTCATACTGGCACTTAACACTCACTTCCAAGCATTTGTGGATGATTCATAAAGCACTGAAATGTAATTTGCACATACATACCCACTAATTTTCATGCATTTCCATTGTTTTGCTTTTGCATGCAAGCTGATGTTAGCTACAACCAAGCATGTCTGCTTGTACACATTCATTCAGTGAGCCTTGTGTTTGTGATTTTATTATAAGTGGAAAATCAGCAATTTGTATTTTTTTAGTGAAACAAAAGTACAAACAGATAAATCCCTAAGTTCTAAGAGTTATCTACTCATCTTTATTCTCTTCTTTGCCTTTCTCTATGTTTTACAACATTGTAGAGCAGAAGAAATGTCAGAAATTGATAAATTCAGTCTTCTTATCTTTACCCAAAACTGAGCCCCAAAGTGGTTTTAACAGAACAGCTGGATGTTGGCAGAGATGTTGCCTGAGTCCTAGTTCAAGTGTGTTTTTTCTTTTCCATCTTGGAAGGAACTAATGACGTTGAGTTTTTAATGTTGCTTATTTTTAAAAAAAAGAATTTCAGTCCATGATTTGTCTTTATATATTTTAGACATAAAACACAACTTAAAAATATATAACAGGAAAAGGGACATACAAAATTCTCTGACAGTTATTTAGTAAAATTATTATATTGTAATTTTTTGTATTTGTACTTTAATTTATGAAAAATAATAAGCATGTGTATAATTACATCAAATACAGTGAAAAAATACTTAGGAACAAAAAATAAGTATTTCTTGAGCTCTTACTACTAAGTAATATTTCTAGGCAAAGAAGAAGATATGAATATAAGAAATTAATTTGGCCCTCAGAGAGTATTCACCATTTATTTGAAAGACAAATTTGTATGACTGAGAAGGTAACGATACTACAGAGTAAATGATAAAATCCAAAGAATTAATACAATTCTTATTATGAATAAACCTAATTGATTGTTTCCAACTGAATGGTCAGTGAAGAGTGATGGAGACCCCCATGGAGAAGGGGGGATTTGAATTGGTGAGAACAAGAGGGGTATAACAAACCTGAAGGGGTCCATCTTAAGTAAAGGCCCGTCCGAGGTAAGGAAAAATAGTTTGGCTAGAGAGGGTAGTTCCTACGGGATATAGTGCAAGATATGGGCTAGGGTAATGTTGTGGACGAATATGGCCTTAAGGAAGCATATTGGTAAGGACGACAGTGGAAGAAGAGGACGCTTAGAGGAATACTGTTCCGAATGTGGAGAGTGGGATGGGTTGGAGAAATGCTTTAAGTCCGTGGACCGTGCAGGGGAGCTGAGGCTGAACTCACGGAAAGGAAGTGGAGTGAGGGGTGGGCACTGACAATGTTAAGAGTGAATAGTTATTTGCTATTGTAAAAGAACAAGTAGGGTTTGGCTTCTTGATTTAGGGAAGCATAGAAGAGAGAGAGGAGTTAAAACTCTTGATTTGGGGGTTTGGGTAAAAGGAAAGCAAGTGATAAAAATGGAGATGTCATGAGGTACAGCTGCTTTCCGGAAAAGAAGATGAATTCAGTTTTAAGCTTGTTGAATTTCAGGAAGTGAGGAGTTGGATGAACGGAGATGGTTTTTTTAATAATATGTTTTATTAATTGTTTTTAGGGAGAGAGAGATAGAAACATTGATGTGAGAGAGACACATGAATCAGCTGCCTCCTGCCCGCCCCCTACTGGGGATCGAGCCCACAACCTGGGCATGTGCCTTGACCAGGAATCAAACTGGGACCTTTCAATCTACGTGATGATGCTCAATCCACTGAGCCACACCGGCCAGGCAAAAGGAGATACTAAAACTGAGAATACAGACTGGGTGATTAGTTGAGTAGAAGAAATAGTTAAAAATGGAAGAACACAAACACTTTAAGGGAGAGAACTCACCAAAAAAGGTATACTTGAGAGTATAATTGTACTTAAAATTGAGGTGACAGAAACATACTGGAGAAGCACTTGGCATTTAGTAGGTGCTTGATAATAAAAATTTAAAGTATAAATAGTTAAGAAATGTGGCAGTAAAAGCTGAAAATGGTCGGGGTGGGTAGGTTTTCCCCTGGGGAAGGGAAAGCTAAAAGTGGTACTAGTAAGAATCTATTCATTATAATTAAGGCAGTGCTATACCTAGAAATTTCAGAAAAGACAAATTTACCTTTTTCAGTTGCAAAGTAATTTTCCCTCACCAAGGATATAAGGAGGTGATATGTCAGCCAATAATAATCATCATCATAATTGCCATTTACTGAGTTATTTGTCACTATGCTAAGCACTTGACACATTATTTTATTGTTTCTTTTCCCCCCTCAACTCTATAAACAAAAATATGGGCATTAGAAAAATCAAATAACTTATCCAGTCATACAGCTATTAAGCAGAATAGCTAGCTGGATTTCGCACCCAGATATGTGTAACTGCCGGATGAAAACCAAGTGATGGAGTTAATGGCCCAGGGTCTAACTTTGGCTCAGCCACTTATTAGCTGTGTGACATACTGCTCATTCATTCCATAAACACAGGGGCTGGCAAAAGTAGTTATACAGTTGTACCGTGATGTTCTTTGAGTTAATAAAGCTATTTTAATAATCATAACCTTCATGTCTTTCCCCACATGAACAAGTGTACACCTACTTTTGCCCATTCCTATATTCAAAAGGCTTACCCTGTGTCGCTGGTCACTGTGGCTACATAATGCCCTCAAAAAGCTCACTGTTCAGGCAAGGAGGCAAATCCGAAAACCGGGTCCTATGCGGTGTCATTAACATTGTAGGAATTAGCAGATGAAATAGGGAACGCGTGAGGAGGGCATGTGTTTTGTGGAAACCTTATCAGTTTACAGTAGCAGCTGACCTACATGTCTTAAAGAATAAAGCTGAATTTACGTCTCGCTTATCTGTGGGACATTGGGCAAACTATTAATTTCTCTATGCCTCAGTTTTGCCATATTGAAAATGGAGATGTTAATAGTACCTGTCTTCTGAGTTTGTTGTCAAACTAAACAAGTTAACAAATGTAAAGTGCTCAGTAGTGCCTGGCACATATTAAGGGCTCCGGAAGTGGGGCTTACTGAGCTGTGGGTGCTGTCAGCATACAAGGGGTAGCACATGTGGAAAGGTTCCTGTCGAGCTTTTTAGGGAACCCTGGCAGCCACATCCTTTTTTAAAAATTATTTTCACTTTTATTTTCAAAAATGACACGAAAAACAATGGGCTGGAAGGTAGTAATAGGAATGTGTATAAAAAAAAAAGATGGTATAATTCATTATCTTGAAAATCAAGCCAAACTCTAGGCTAATTGTCTTTAAGAGTCTACAAATCTTTTTGATTACGTAAATTCTTTTTTTAATGTTTATAATCATTTGTTTGAGCCAAACCGACAACATATGTTGGAAAGCAAGATTTTATGCTTTATAATTTTTTTATGATTAAGTTAAGGAACGTGGAAGGAAAAATTATGAAAATGTATTTATATACTAAATAAACCAAGGGTTTTACTATAACCCCTTCTCCCTTTGCAAAAGTAAAATGTTGTCCACTGATTATATACAAATCAGAGGAGTTGGAAGATAGGCCTTTTTTCTTGGAAATAGGGAGATAAGGGATCTGATACAATCTTTAAAACTTAAATTTTCATTCAACTCAATAATAATTTTTCCTAAGGTGAATCATAGGGAAATAGGTAGAAAAATTCTTGCTTCCTATATCTAAGGGAAGAAATATTTAAAATACCACGAAGGGTATAAGTTTTCAGCCATAAGATGACTACAATTTGAAGTTCTGATGTATAACATACTATAGTGTATAAAATTTGCTAAGAGAGTAGAATTCATGTATTTCATGTGAGGTGAGGAATCCTTTCACAATGTATAGCATCAAGAGATACACTTTATTTATTTTTTATCCTCACCTGAGGACATTTTTGCATTCATCTTCAGATAGAGTGGGAGGGAGAAAGGGAGGAAGAGAGAGAGAGAAACATTGATGTGAGAGAGACACATTGACTGTTTGCCACCCACATGACCCCAACCGGGGCTGGGGACAAACTACAACCGAGGTACGTGCCCTTAGCGGGAACTGAACCTGGGACTCTCTGGTCCGCGGGCCGACGCTCTAACCGCTGAGCCAAAGCGGCCAGGGCTCAAGAGGTACACTTTAAATATCTTTCAACTTTATTTGCAAGTTATACCTCAGTTAAGCTGAAAAACAAATCAAAACAAACGAACAGTTTTCCCCAAACTTAAAACCCTCACAAATATGTAAATAAGTAATCAAAATATATCACAACTAAGCCACTTGCCTGTTTTGAGTCACCACAGAAATATTATGAAAAGCAAGCACACAGAAATTATAAATTTATTAGAGAGTCATATAAATGTTAAGTTTAATTTCAGAAAGTATAATGGTGTACACTTACTAGAAAGCTTATTAAAAATGTAGATTCCTAGCGCCATCCACAGGCTCAGTTATTTGAGTGTAGGGATACATTTGTGCTTCTAACAAGCACCTCAGATGATGTTCATGTAGGTGGCCTGCAGACTGCACATTGAGAAAACAGTGGTGAGAATTTTTCAGAAATAGAGAAGATGTCAAAAATGCAGATCCCAGCAGGAGATAGACTGAGGGATCCTAATTATTTCTACCCTTCTATTTCTAACCCCACCCCAATGTTTCATATAATGAACATTCCTGAAAATGAAGAAAATAAACTTTTCTGAAACTAATAAATGCAGTGGGTCGTAGATCATGGCCCTAAGAGAGCAGCCTGTTACTCTACTTCATGTGCTTCACATAGTTTCATCAAACATTTATTCAGAATGACATTTGGCTAGAAACTGTGTTGGGTACTTTCACTTATATAATCTTAATAGTCCCAGGCATCCTGTGACACTTCCATTGCAGTAATTAGGAAAGAATACTTTTGGCTTCAGGTAACAGAAACTCAATTTAAAGTGGTTTAAACTAAAATAAAAGGTACAGAACAATAGCAGAAATCCAGAGGTGTGGGAGACTTCAGGGTTGATTGGGCCAGTAATTGAAGAATGTCATTCAGGACTCAGGTTTTTGTCTATCTCTGCTTTGTCTGCTAAAGTGCCAACTTCACCTAAAGCTGGTTCTCCTCTTGGTCACAGGATAGCTAACTCCTGGTTACTCAGGTTTTCACATCCAGGGGGAGGGCTTGCTGGCTTCCCATGACTCTTCCCAAATAATAAGGGCCGCACATTAAATTAAATTAGGCCCAAATTAAATCAATGTGGCTTAGACTAGTGTTTTTCAAACTCTTCTTCACTGTTTATTATTTACCCAAGAAGTCTTTTTAACATTTTCTTCCTAAACTCCCCTCCCACATGACATTTTAATAACCTAGATATTACCGTATGTCTGCTTTATACATAAAAGAATAACTTAATCACCCCAATCTCAGAATGCATGGCCTAGACTAATTCAGGTCACCCCAGGAGTTGTGGATGGGGTCAGCTTTCCTTGAAGCACATGTCCATGTGTGGGAGGTATGGATACAGAGCTAAAATGGGAGTTCTGTTAGGATGGGGAAAGTAGTAAGGAGTGGATTCTGGGTAGGCAAACAACAGTGGCCGCTATTCAAGCTGAGAGACAGAACAGATCATTTGTTCAAGTACTGGCAAGTGATAAAATCAGTTTAGGTCAGGATTTCTAACTTCAACTGCACTGCTCTATCTACTGGAATTTAGTTGTCCAATTTTAGTTTGTCTTGGCGGTAACATCAGAAACAGAGAATCTTGGAGTGGGGCAGTTATGGGTTCCAATAGTGATTCTGTACTTACTGGTTTTGTGAAGAAGTCACTTGAGCTCTGTGAACTTTATAGTCTTCATGTTTAAAAGAGAGGTTATAATTTCTTCAGTATTAGACTATTAGAAGGATTAAATAAGCTGAACATGTAAAGCAACAAGAAAAATGCCTTTGTAAATATTAGTTCCTTTCCATATCATCCTCAGGTATGATGACAACTCTCTACACTGAGCTCTGTAAAATGGAAGGAAATGTGTATTTTCAGTGGTTTGTGATGTGTTCTGGTTGCAGAGAAGCTGAATGTTAAGTGTAAAGAAAATTTATAAATTGCGTTCAGCCGTGTGGTTATGACCTTCTTGTCTGAGGTGAACGTTCACCTATTCTTTATTTTCTAGGACAAATCTATTAGCACTAGTCTACCTGTCCTAGATTTAATAGATGCCATCGCACCAAATGCTGTTCGTCAAGAAATGGTCAAGAGAGAAGACTTTTCTGATGAGGACAAGCTGAACAATGCTAAGTAAGTTTTTATGGTTTATAGCAGAACACTGTGGCACTTTAATTTCTTAAATCCATGCAAGTAAGGTTACTGTGTCTTTAAAACTCACATTTTAAAGTATGGCGTCTGTAGGAAATATGATTTAAATACTCACAAACTTAACCTTTTTGTAAAGTTAAATCTTTTTTTTTTTTATCCTCACCTGAGGACATTTTTCCATTTTTTTGTTCAGATAGAGTGGGAGGGAGAGAGAGGGAGAGACAAAGAGAGAGAGAGAAACATCGACGTGAAAGGGACACATCGAGTGGCTGCCACCCGCACGACCCAACCAGGGCCGGGGACAAACTGCAACCGAGGTACATGCCCTTAGCGGGAACTGAACCCGGGTCTCTCAGGACCCCAGGCCGACGCTGTAAGCATTGAGCCAAACTGGCCAGGGCGTAAACTTAAATCTTATAAAAGTATTTCATTCTTTTTAAACTTATATTAAGTGAAAACACGGTAGATAACAAATACCAACATATTTTTCTTGTCTTTTCAAGATATGCCATTTCAGTTGCTCGAAAGATTGGTGCCCGGATATATGCCTTACCTGATGACCTCGTGGAAGTGAAACCAAAGATGGTTATGACGGTGTTTGCATGCTTAATGGGAAAAGGACTGAACAGAATAAAATAAACACTTAATATAATTTTCTGCCACATTTACACATTGAATGCCTCACAGTTTACAGAATTCTGAAATGTAGTGGGTATAAAACCAGAGATTATTTGTGTGCTCAAAACAGTTGTAAAATTCATTAATAAATTCAATATCCTGTTCATACTAGTTAGAGTTACTTGACCTTTTTGGATAATACAACTAATTTACTAGTAGATACTGATAGTAGAATATATTCTTCATCAAGCTGATATTTCATGATTAAATTATTTTCATTTCCTGAAAGTCTCATTAAAACAAGACTAATTTATTCTTTTTCACGGTTCAAAAAAGATCAATACAAATTTTTTTTTTGCAAGTCCTGTGAAACGTGTTTTATGTGTGAGTTAATTTTGACCATAAATGCATTCAAAGTCATAATGCAGTTTGCTTTGTTTTTTTTCCTCTATGTGCAGTGGTCTAAACTTCAACTTTTCTGTGAATTTCTATATTGCCTAAAACTTTTAAGTGACAAGTATTGTTCTATTAACATTAAATTTTTTACATATGAGAACTAGCTCCTGAATAAACTTCAAAGTTCATTCTCTTATGTAAGAAGCCAGAGCTTTTTACTTAAAACTTAGTTTTAACTGCATTGATACTTTACATATGCTAGTTTGGTAATGACAGGCAGCATATATATATGCTGGGAGGATGTTATTAAAGAAGTATGTGTATGTATATATATTTTGCATCTGAGTTATCTGGGTTTTCTTAAACATTATGTATAATTGGCAAGACAGTCAACCATAAAATATTTGTCCCCCCACTGAGTGTACTTTTCAGTTTGTAGATATTTGGTACATGAAAATTTCTTTTAGAAATACTCATTTTTGATGTGCATATAGTTATTTTTGACTGACTTCCGAATATTTATAGCCAAACATTGGCTAGAGGATTTCAAAGCATATTGACACTATAATGTTAGCTTCATGTTACAGATGCTAATTTTGATCTCTACTGAAGCCCTAAATAATTTAGTACATGCCCACTGAATTTCTTTAGCAGAAAGTAACACAAAGCTACTATTTGACAAATCATTTTCCTATATTTTTTCCACAACCTCCTACAAGTTGGCAGTGTTTGATTTATGCTTGTGTTACTTAGGAACAGCTAAGCCTGAGACCTATTTTTGTCTGAATTTTTAGGAGTAGAAAGATTCTTTGCTGACAATTGAATTCAGTTCACCTTCCACTGTTAGTGCCAGGGAAACTGCTGTGCAACAGAAATGCTGTCACTTTATGTCACGTGAATGAGAAGTCTGATTTCCCTTGTTACCGCTGATTAAAACATACATGTAGGTAAGACTGAGACTGCTCATGTGTTTAGAATAGAATTTTTAACTGAAATTATCAACAGGTGGAACTACGAAGCATATTCTTCTACAAAAGAAATTTCCTTTCCTTTTATATTTTGATGATTGTTTTCATATATGACAATTAAGATATGTTCTTGCTCTTTAGTGAGATTATTTAAATCATGTTTCCCCTTTTCATTTTTTTTCACCATTACATTTACTGTTTTTCGATTTACATGAAATTGAGCACTTCAGCATGTTCTTTTTCCTTACAAAGTATATTTAATAAAAATTCTGTGTATGTACAAATGTGTATTTATTTTATTTAAAGAGAATATGCAACCTTGAAAATTAATATATCATAAGGTTATTTGCCAGATAAGAGAAACTAAAAACTATTAAAACAAAATTCCTAAATACTAGTTAGTAAAACTGATTGCTAAACTAATTATTATGACAAAAAAATTTTATTAGATTATTTTTTTAACATGAAGAATTTTAGTAAAGACCAACTGCATATTACTACAATTTAGTTTGTGGTGAATTATAGTGACTCAATCAATTTAACAACAGATTTGTCTATTATGATCCTGGGATTGATGCCATTACATAACCTGGTTATTATTTAACAGGTAAGGAGTAAAGGAGAGACTAGCTAATTTAACACTCCAGGTTTATTCTCCATGATTGACGGGGAAGGGACTGAACAAAGGCAGTTTAGACGCATGCCCAGTAATGTGTGAGTGACTTGGGAGGTGCCTGTCTGTCTGTCACACCTGGGAGTGAGTCAGTGGCCAGAATAGGTATGGTCACTGCAGGCACACAAAACCTGAATATTTAATCTTCTGAACAAAGGAAAGCTCGCTGTCTCTCCCTTGCTTCCCGCAGAGGACTCCTGCCTTGTGGGGCTCCCATGCCCTGCATTCGCCATGTGGCCCATGGCCATGTGGACTCCATGCAATGGATTAATGGACTGAATCTGAACTGATCCCACGTTGGACCCAGTTTCATCATGGAGAGAAAGCACTGGACTCTTGCTCTATTTCTAGGTCTACTGAATCCACAGCTGTGTGTTTTCCAGGACCGAGTTAAGGGAACTGGACGTTACAACCCCAGGAATATAACTCCACACCAATAAAGACCATTCACATGGGGGTACATATATTCTTTCTGATTGGTGTTTCAGGCTTCTTATATGTACCCCCATGTTTACAGCAGCACTATTTACAATAGCTAAGATCTGGAAACAGCCCAAATGTCCATCAGTAGACGAATGGATAAAAAAGCTGTGGTACATATACAGAATGGAGTACTACGCAGCTATAAGAAAGAAAGATCTCTTATCCTTTGGGACTACATGGAGGGACCTGGAAAGTATTTTCCTAAGCAAAACAAGTCAAAGAAAGAAAGACACTTATCTGTGGAATATAATGAACATAACAGTCTGAGGAATGGGGCAGTCCTAGAGACGTGGAAGTGGGGTACAGACTGACAGTCCTCAAGAGGGGGATGGTGGGGGAGAGAGAAACCACAGAACTTATATGCATGTATGCATGAACAATGGACATGGACAACAAAGCTGGGGACAGGGCAGGGAGGGAGTGGAGGGGGGAATCACTGGGGGGAAAAGGAGAAACATATGTAACAAAAATTAATTAATAAAAAAAAAAATCAGTAACAACAACAAAAAAAAGACCATTCATTCTCCTGTGTGAGTCTCAGAAAATTCCTTTTCTAAAGATATCGCAAGAGCCCCACTCCCACAAGTGTTGGAGAGATCTGGCCCATTCATCCCTGCTGCCAGAGAATCAAACTGCTCTCTTGCTAGTGGGAGTGGGGTTCTTGGGGCGCAATCGGAGTAAGCATATTCAGAAGCCCCCATGGGAGGATGAGACATAGTAAAAGACTTGATTTGTGTGAAATTACATTCCTCAGTTTCCAATGTCCCATTTCCCTCAAGCCAGTCCTAAAAGGGGTACCTGGGGCTTTAGTAAGGCCAAAAGCAAAGCCAGAGTCCAGAGTTTCTGTTCCATGATACAGTGGGGTCCAGATCAGGATCAGTCTAGATTCAGTCCATCAGTCCATTGTATGGGGTCCCATGTGGTCATGGGCCACATGGCAAGTGTAGGGCATGGGATCCCTGCAAGCCAAAAGTCTGGCTGAATGTGAGTGAGAGAGACAGACAGACAGACAGACAGACAGCTTTCCTTTGCCTAGGAGATTAAATATCAGGTTTCACTCTTACAGTGACCAGGCCTGTTCTGGCCACTGACTGGCTTCCAGGTGTGACAGGTAGGTACCTCCAAATCACTCAGACTTTACTGGGTATGCGTCTAACCTGCCTCTGTCCAGTCCCTTCCCCCATCCATCTGCAGGGAATAGACCTGGAGTGTGTTAAATTAGCTTGTCTCCTCTTTACTCCCTTCCTGTTAAATAGCCAGATTATTGTGATGGCATCATTCCCCCGAGGAAAAATGGAACCTCTATAATCATACAAAAGAGAAGTGGGTGAAGATCTTTGTCTTTGTAGCTGCTTCCTGCTGTCACAGAGGCTAAACCTGCTCATCCCAAGGTTGAGAGGCTCCCCCTGTCAGCAGGGAAGAGGGAAGCAGAAAGGGAGTCTATTCAGGAAAGAGGGATTCTGCAAAGTCAAAGTTGGTCTGGTGTTCCTGGGAGATGACATGTTGGACAAGCTGGCATCCTTGTATTCTGGAAATGACAAACTTGACAAGAAGGTTCGAAGGCAAAACTCAAGGAGACTTACAATAGACCCTGGAGATTCAGCCAAGAAAAATGTTGAGTTTCCTGACCTCATGAATCCTAGTGAAGAGAGACGGATTATAAACAAATAGGAATTTAAGATAGTGACACATGCAGAAACAAAAGTGTAATGTGATAGAGACTGACTTGGAAGCTGGGGTGAGGATTATTTTAGTTTGGGTGGTCAAGGAAAGTCTCTTTAAGGATATGTATTCAGACAATATGAATGACAAGGTGGAGCCAGTTGATAAATGTTCAGCAGAGGGAACAAGCAAAAGGCTCTGAAGCAGGAAGAGTCTTACAAGCATTTTAGAAAAAGAAATAGGTAAATGTGGACTAGAAGAGAGTTTGGTGATGTAGATAGGGTCTACTCTACTTCTAGGATTAAATCTTAATCCCGATTTTGTCCTCTCCTTCTGAAGATGCAGATGGCTCTCCTTTTATACCTGTGGTTTGGTGAGTTGCTCTGAGTAATGTGCTATTTCTTTATCTTGTATTCCATTTTTCATTATAACTCCAGCATTGATCTCCATATTACGGATGCAAATAAACAGACCATATAGGGGATGTTAAAATACCCTTGCTTTATGCTGGATAAAGAATGTACCAGAGAGGCAAGAGAGAACAGTCTACATCTGAGATGGTTCCAAGACTTCTGAGGAACAGGATGCAGTTGCAACACTGGCTTACTTTGAAAGATGAAAAGCCCTCTAATACTTTGGAATGCCTGGAGGTCTATCTGCTATAGTAGGTTGGAATTCCTCTGAATCTAAGAAATTAACCCAGTCCTTGCTGAAGTCCTATGGGAATCACCTAAACCTAGAAGCTTGAATAAACTTAAAAGCGTGTGTATAGTTTGGAGACATCAGAATTTTTACCCTCACACACTGGAACTTTTGAATGGGTCATGGTTAAAGTGGTTCTGCTACTGAGTAAAAATTTTACTGTGTAATCTCACACATAAACCCGAACAGGTACTACTGTGTTCACTGGCCACAAATTTATACTGAGCATCTTTGACATTCCACCAAATACACAAACTTGTAACCGAATTCAACAGTGTAGAATAGGAATAGAGATTTACAAAAAAAAAAAAAAGTAAAATGATTCAATAGATAATCCACTATTTTGAAGTCAACACATGAAAATGTTGGAAAGGTGGACAATCTTGTCTAATAGGGCCTCTCAGAGCAGATTTAAAGAGGGCTTTGGATGATGATGAAGATATATTTAGGAAGTTTGGGAGTTGGTGTTGGCAGGGACAAAATGGAACAAATCAACCTGAATAGGAGATATGTATTTCCCTCAAATATAAGACACTTCGAAGTACATTTATGTATTGCCTTAAAAACCCACAGCCTCTTCACACCAGGATATTTTCCCATTTATCCTCAGAGCGGGAGGGAGGGAGGAAGAGAGAGAGAAATATCATGTAAGAGAGAGACATCAATTGTTGCCACCAGCAGACCCCAACTGGGCGGGGAGGAACCACAACCGAGGAACATGCCCTTGGCCGGAGTGGAACCAGGACTCGCTGGTCCGCAGGCGGATGCTCAAGTCCCCGGGCCAAACCGGCCGGACCATCCTGGGTTTTAAAGGTGCAAGAATCTGCTTTAAATAAAACCTTAATTAAGAAAATAAATTATTCAAGGAAGTAGCACTTACTATGCTTCAGTTAGCGTTTGCCTAAATTGCACTCATCTTTAAAATCAGATTTATAAATGTGAAGACAAAGAAACCACGGAAGGGCTGTGATGCAGAGCTGATCCTACGTCACCCGTGGTTACGTATCAGCACACCTGAATTACCTGCGGATAAATCCATCAGGAATGCTAAGCCCATCTACTATCCCAAACGAGGTGTTCAAAGAAGTCTTCAGAAATGCGGGGGAGCTCGCCCAAGGAGAGTGCGTACACACAGACACGTCGGGCCGCGTGGGCGGCGGCGGACTCAGGAACGTGAAATAACCCGACAGCTCCACGTGGGGTGTCACTGAACGTGCGCGGGCCGCGGCTCAGTTCACCATCCCGCCACACACTGACCGCGCGCGGGAGGCGGCGCGGGGCTGCCTGGGCGCCGGGGGTCCCAGGGCGGTCCGCTCCTCCTCCGCTGGGAGCCCTTCAGCGCCGGCGGCCTCGCCGGGAGCGGTGGGCGTGGCGACAGCAGACCCCGCCCCGTCGACAGGCCCCGCCCCCGCGGAGTCCGGCCGCCGCAGGCCCCGCCCCGGCGTCGTCGCTAGCCCGGAGCGGAAGATGACGTGAGGAGAGTGGGAGCATCTCCTGGGGGCGCATTTTGGCTGGCGGTTCCCACGGTCCTGGACCCCGACGTGCGCGGAGTCGCTTCTCCGAGCTTCTCACCCACCGCTCTCTCGTCCTCCTGCTGGGCCGGGCCGCCCCCCGCGCGGCCCCTGCGGCTCTGGCACGGCCCCGCGCTCGGCCGCCGCCCTGGCGCCCGCCACTCTGTCGTCCCCGGACCGGCGCGGGCCGGCTCGGCCGGGGCGCAGGCGGCTGGGGAGGGGCCGCTGGCCCCGGGGCCGCGCTGGCGCTGCCACCGATCTGGGGCTGTCAGTGGAGGGCGAGTGCTGGCTGCCAGGGGACGGGACGCCCTTCGGGGCCAACGGGTCGCGCGCGGAGGCGGCCGTGGGAACGACCCATCCCTTCTCCGGCCCTGCGGCGGGGCTGGACTCGGGGTCTGGGCCCCCGTCTCCTGGCCTGCCCCCGTCTTGGGGCGCGATGATGGCGGCCCTGTGTCCGAGCACGGATCCCTCGGGCGCCTCCTCCTCCTCCCTGCTTTCTTCCCCATCCTCCTCTTCGTCGCCGAACGAGGTGATGGCGCTAAAGGATGTGCGGGAGGTGAAGGAGGAGAACACCCTGAATGAGAAGCTTTTCTTGCTGGCGTGCGACAAGGGTGAGAGCTCGGCCCCTCCTCCGCTCTGGACGCCCTTGCTCTCCACACCCTCATCCTCCCCGCCGCCTCGCTTGGGGTCCTCGCGCAGAGCGCCTGTCCCGCCGCCCCGCGGCCTCCCGCGCGACCGGCGCCGCCGCTGCCCTTTGGGTGCGGAGCTGGCGGGCGGGAGCAGCCCGCGCCGCCCCCTAGCGCCGCCCCCGGGCCGCGGGAGCCGTGCCCTGTGCTGGCGTGCGGTGTAGGTAGCGTCGTGGGGGCACAGACCCTAGGATTTTAGCCCAGCCTCTGCTGTGGACCACCTGAATGACCTGGTCTCTCGCGGGGGGCTTCCCTTCTTTCTTTTTGGAAGCCCAAGGGTTTGTCTAGTAAGAAAATTCCGTGACCTTGCTTAAGGTGCCTGGTGTTTATGGGCTCTCACCTGTTTTTGTTTTTTTCCCCTTTTCATTAAAATCTAGCTGGAGACAAAACAATGACAGGACTGAAGAAATAGCCCCAGACTTTCTCCAAATTTACAGAACAACTTTGTTCGTGCTTTTTATTGGGGAGGAAGATTTATTGCTCCTGAGCCTTCTTTGAGAAATAAAGATAGTGCAAAATAATTACAGGGCAAACATGTGGAATATATATGTATATATTTTTTTATCCTCACCCGAGGACATTTTTCCATTCTTTGTTAAGATAGAGTGGGAGGGAGAGAGAAACATCCACGTGAAAGGGACACATCCAGTGGTCGCCACCTGCATGACCCAACCAGGGCCGGGGACAAACCTCAACCTAGGCAGGTGCCCTTAGCAGAACGAACCCGGGTTTCTCTGGCCCGAGGCCATCGCTCTAACCGCTGAGAAAACCGGCCAGGGCCAAATATGTTGAATATATTTAATATTATTCTTAAAATAAAAAGAAACACTAGAGATTCATTACTTTTATGGCCATAAAAATCATGCTTTCTTTTGTTGCAAATCATAAAAGGAATGAGAAATTGATTCCTCTGTATAATCTGTAGTTTCTCTTCATCTATTCAGCTTGCCTTTGTTGTACTTAAAAATAAAAGTTATTTTATCAGCAAAATGGGTTTATTTAGGAATAGCAAAGAACTGCAATTCGGGACAGGCAAGCTACAGGAAAAGCCATAGGCAAGCCTAGCAAACAAGGACAGGAACGTTATTTTATGGAGGAAAAGGAAATTGGGAAGGGTAGTTCGAACAAAAGTTTGTTGGAGAAAATCGAGAGGTAAGGGGGATGATGGTTTCTCACTGGCTGAGTTGCTGAGGTGGTCAATTTCTCCTAGGTGACCCAATGTACATCTTTTATGTTGGGGCCTACCATTGACAGTTCTTTCCTGTTGATTTTTCTGTTGGGGTCTGTAATTGATAATCCTTCCTGTAATTGGACCTCTCCTGGTACTGCGTGTGAACACCCGCTCTGGCCTCACCATTTCAAATGAGGTTACCCTTTATTAATTTTCACACTTTACAATGGCCAATGCTCACTTAAGAAACTCTATTTAGGATCATGCTGACTTCCAGAGCATAAACCTAAAGGGCAGCTTACATTGTGAAAAGATTAGCTACAGAGGATTTTGTGTGTGTATGTGCAAGTGTGTTTTTAATAAGTGACGGCCTAACCTCTCTTATTGCTTTGGAAGTAGGATTTTATTTACATTACCTTTTGCAAACACATTGACTTATAAAGTCCATCAATGTCAGCCACTTTTATGTTCTTATATAATAGTATTAAATTAAGTTATATTATGAAAACATTTGTTAAAGTCTACCATGGACAGAACTTTGAATAGTCTTGGATAATAGAGAAGCATATAATGTGTATATACCTTCACAAAAATCATTGTCTATGAATTAGGTAAAATTGTTTAGTATTACTGGAGTGGATTGTATGAGTTTGTTTCCCTAAAAGAAGTCTCTGAGGGGAAGAGACAAGATTGTGTTGTACTAGAATGGGTAAATCACTTCACTGCTGCATGCCCGCAGCTTGCTGAGCTGTGGTTATTTTAAAGCAGACAAAGTATGTCAAGAAAGGGAATTTGATATACCTGTCAAACTGAGGAATGTGGTTTGAGTAAGCACTTGCACGGTGTGTATATTTAAAATTATTGTGTGACATATCTCAAACCAAAGAAAGTTTTAATATAAAACAGTTTTGTTGCCTGCCCAGTAGTGCCAGTTGAAGTAGCTTGGTACCCTGTGTCGCTTTCCCATTTTATAACATCATTAAGATTCTTGGAGAGATTTGGCTCTTCAGGGTAGGTGGAAAGAAAACAAATTTTAATGAGAGATTAAATAGATATTTCTTGTTTCAGGTATGGTAAATTGAGCTCTTGGGTTGGATTGAGAAAATTGGCTTATTTCTTACACTTACGGTATACTTTTACCTGGAAAAATAAATATGAGCTATAGCAGTATTTTTTACATGTTTGTCTTCACTAACATCTTTCTTAGTGTCGCCTAAACCAAATCTAAAAGTGAAAATTTCCTGAAGTAGCTATAGTTCCCACTATTACATTGGAGCTTTTATTAAACCAAATGGCAACTATTTACTAAAACAGCTATTTGGGATAGAGTGCATGTAATTTTTATTAATGATCTTATTTCATCCTCACAACCCCATGAGTCAGATGTGTTATCTCCATTTTACAAATGAGGAAAATGAGATTTAGCAGGATTTTAAAATTACTTTGCCCAAGGTTGCATTAGTTAGGAAGTAGTAGAACTGGGATCTATTTTGAGCTTGTACTCAACCACTGTGATATATTAACCTGGTTTTAGTTGAATTAATGAAAATAATTCGTGTTAGAAAAGATATGTTCACATTTGGACTTATTAGTTGAAGATTAAAATTTCTCTCTATGAATGTTTTATAAACCATAATGCCTGTGGATTAAATTTATGCAATAAAAGTAAAAAGCTTTAATAGCACCAGAACAGATCTACTATAAAACATCTATGTTTTTCATCCTTTTCATTTAGTCGTCTTACTCTACATGTACAAAATGTCCCTAATGAATTGCACTTAGAAAGAATTCCTAAGGCAAAAATTGTGGACATGAGGTCCATATGTGTATGTTAGTGGATGGGTGGGCCTTTGAAAGATACATACAGATTAGGAGTAAAGAAAAAAACTAGGAAGGAAAAAGATTTTATAGTTTATTTTATAGTTTGTATAGCTGGCTTACATGCAAGTGAGTTCAGTAGATCTACATAAATGCTGATCCAGGTAGTAGCTACTTAATAGTGGGTATTACTGATTTTGAAAATGGGTTAGAATCACCTGAAATTCAACACTGGTTTCTTTCTTTGTAAAACATTTAGAAGAAAAAGTGAATTGAAAGTTTCTGTGCCAGTGATATAAAGTTAAATCTAGGCCTGCGCAGGTAAAATTCTCAGAAAGTACAAACACTCTTTTTAGACATAGAACAGTGCGATTCAAAGGTAAGGTAACTGGAACAACAGCTGGCAAATGTGTTGTTTTATGAAATATTAAGCAGTAATTCTTAACAACACATATCTTTTCCTATCTCTTTGCAAGTTGGTGTGGTAATGAGCCACTTTTATTTGTGGAAGCCTATGGTTTACTTCAGGCTTGCTGGCTGAAGAAAGGGTTAATATGTTTTTTAGGGCACACCTAAAATAAATATAGTTAATGTTCATTCACTTCTTTTAAAATAACTGTTGAATGGATGGTATCTTTTAGTATATATTCATGAGCTAAACGTATGTAAAATTTGCTGGCAATCAGTAATCAGTTCTTGTGTAGAAAAAGGAAATGATGAAAAGATTCAATCTAGGATTTAGTTCCTGCCAACACCCCATGAAAGAGCATTTTCAGGAAAATTGATTTGCAATTAATGAGTCTGGAGGCCCCTCTTGAACTTTCAGCATGAGGTCTGAGGAGATGGAGAGAGCTGAATTTCGTCTTTATCCTTTGGCTCAGCCTAGTTTAGATCTTGTGTCATCTTTGTGGTAGGGCTCAGCAGGGTCCTTTGATGCCTGAATTCCTACTACATAACTTTTCATACCTTTGGGCAAAGCATACGTTTAAAGTGGGCCACATTTTTGGGAGAAGTAATATGAAGCTGCTGTTTTAATAACACCTTAATATATTTAATATCAGACTGATCATTGAGCAGTTAGCTGCTTCAAGTACTGTAATATTTGCATTTGTTTGTAGTGATTCCATAAGTGTTTATTTTGCTGCTCTTTTCTATAAGTCATCATCCCAATATACCTGCCAAACTCTTAATTGCATGAAGGCTCTGGAAAGGTGCTTCACCAAGAAATAACTGACTATAACCCTATTCTGTAGGAGCTTCTTCTGTAATGAGATATTCTCCTGTGCTCTTGTGAGAAGTCATAAGGGGAAAAAAAGTATGTTTGTGCCTAATCTGTCTGAAGGGCAGAAACAAATGCTCAATTTAATGTAAATGTCCTATTTGTGTTTTGGAAGAGGGATATTCTTAGTACACAATCTTTTAACTGGGCAGTTAAAAAAATGTAGCCCAAGCCAACCAAACCCCTTTACCTTGTATATAATAGATTTTGGGGAACGGTGTTAAGATATTAAATTTTATTGTGTGGGTATCATTGCCACCTAAGAATAATTCCTCTTCCCTGCTTCCAGTGCTACAAATAAATAACTTAGTGACTTTTAAGAAACTAAAATGAATTAATTATCAGTACTAAAAGAATTCCAGTACCATATCTATATAGTTATGACATTAAGTGTAATTTCTTTGGATGCCAAAACTTTGTGATATATACGGTGGTGATCAGTGCTGTTCTTAATACCTTCTGTTAATTAAAAAAAAATCACTCGTTTATTTTCTGGTCATATTTGTTGCTTCATCACTAATTCTTTTATTTTTTAGCTTAGTTTATATTGACCAATAGTGTACTTTTTAAGTTCTGTGGGTAATATATAATTCAAATGTATGTGAAATGAAATTTAAGCAACATAATAAATCCTTTTTTTTTTTTTTTTTATCCTCACCCGAGGACATTTTTTTATTTTTTTTGTTCAGATAGAGTGGAAGGAACAGAGAGAGAGAGAAACATCGACGTGAAAGGGACACATCGAGTGGCTGCCACCCGCACGACCAACCAGGGCCGGGGACAAACTGCAACCGAAGTACGTGCCCTTAGCGGGAACCGAACCCGGGTCTCTCCAGACCGCAGGCCTACACTCCAACCGCTGAGCCAAACCGGCCAGGGCATAAATCCTTTTTGAAACTGTATTAATACATACCTGATATAAACTAAAGTTTTATACAACTTGCAACATCACTATGAATTGGATCTCAAGTCATAGACTAATTACAAAACAAACATTGCTTCTCATTGTTCTTCTAATGGCTTAAAGAACATACTATTAAGTCCTGGACTGTTTGGCTCAGCGGTTAGAGCGTCGGCCTGCGGTCCAGAGAGACCCGGGTTCAGTTCCCGCTAAGGGCACGTACCTCGGCTGCAATTTGTCCCCAGCCCTGGTTGGTTCGTGCGGGAGGCAGCCACTCGATGTGTCCCTTTCACGTCGATGTTTCTCTTCCTCTCTCTCCCTCCCACTCTGAACAAAAAAACGAAAAAATGTCCTCAGCTGAGGAAAACTCCTTAATAATGAACTCTTCTGTTTTAAGCATCTTTAGTAAATAGTTCAATTAGAATGTTGAAGTTGCCACATTTAAAAAGTGTGTTATAGAAGATTGGTTTGAATAGCTTTATATAATTTTTTGACAGATAAATTTTACCTTAGTTCACAACTAACTGAAAAGTTGGTTACTATAACATTAAACTGATTAACATTAATGCTCCCATTTCAGTGATGTTGAAATTTACTACCATATGCCAGAAAATAAAACTAGATGCCAATGAAGAAAAGATGGAATCACCTTTTCTTAGTTGATATTACAACATTTCTCCACTGTATTTCGCAAGGGTTTATCAGAGTTGGTGAAAGTGAATTTGTTGCTGAGGATCCACGAGATTACCCTGGTATTTTTTTTTTATCCTCACCCGAGGACATTTTTCCATTTTTTTGTTCAGATAGAGTGGGAGGGGGGGAGAGAGAGAGAGAGAGAAAGATCGACATGAAAGGGATATATTGAGTGTTTGCCACCTGCACGACCCAACCAGGGCGGGGGACAAACTGCAACCGAGATATGTGCCCCTAGCGGGAACCGAACCCAGGTCTTTTCGGACTGCAGGCTAATGCTCTAACTGCTGAGCCAAACCAGCCAGGGCTACCCTGGTATTTTATATACTGTTTCATTTTTTAAAATTATTGGTTGGGACTTACTGCATTGATTTCATGACTGCTAATGGATGGAACCTGCAATTTGGAAAACATTGATCTAGGACAGCGATTTTCTGTCTTTTTCGTCTCATAGCACACGTACACTAATCACGAAATCTGTGGCACACCAAAAAATAAAAATAGGTATAATTTTGATTCATTCACATTAGACTGCTATTGTGTTGGCTGTTGTCATTTTTTAAATTTGACAATCTAAAGGGAAAGAGGTCTGTAGCCCTGACTAAATAATCTATTGCATGTTTTAAAAATTCTTGCAGCACACTAGTTGAAAATCACTGGTCTAGCAGGGTCATAGTTGATCTAGAAATATCATACTTGGTGAGTGGGCTAGTGACACAAGGTAAATTCAGAATGGTAGCAAAACCCAGGTTCAATATTCATGAGCCGCAAGATTTTGGCATTTATTTTAAGTGTCATGGAAAATATTGAGGATTATAAACTTGATATAATTCGAATTTTAAAAACATCACTCTGGCTGCTGGTTGTAAAATGGATTAAAAGGGTGTGGCTAGAGCATGGGTGGGTAGACTGTATCCTACAAGCCAAATCTGTACACCACCTTGTGTTTCTGTAAAACCTACAAGCGAAGAATGGTGGTTGGTTTTTTGTGTTTTTTTTTAATCCTCACCTAAGGACATTTTTGCATTTATCTTCAGATAGAGCAGGAAGGACAGAGGGAGGAAGAGAGAGAGGGAGAAATATCTATGTGAGAGAGACTCATGAATTTGAGAGACACACATCAACTGGTTTCACCCACATGACCCCAGCCAGGGCCGGGGACAAACTGCAACCATCCCCTTAGCTGGAACTGAACCCAGACTCTCTAGTCTGTGGGTTGATGCTCTAACTGCTGAGCCAATCAGTCAGGGCACAGGATTTGAATTTTAATGCTTATATGGGAACAGGTTACATGGCCTTGAAGGTCTGCTACCAAGTGGGGGAAGTGTAACAACATCCAAGCATAAAACCAGGATCAATCAAGGGGTTAGATGAGGGAAAAAACCCATCCACCAGCACAAAGACTACAAAGAAGCTTGTAAATAAGACTTCCCTAAGAATTTCAACATGGTCCTGCCTCATGTTGGCTTGGGGTTTGGAAAACGTAAGCTGAGAAATTAAAAGATTTGTAGGGCAGCAAAACCTCAGAGTTGCCTAGAAAAAACAAATGTGAAACATCCTTGGTGGGACAAATTTTCAAACCAGGATGCCAGGACTCCCACAGGTAAACTGCATGAAGATGAATTTGCAATACTCAATTTAAAAATTCAGACAGTCATCTATTATTGAAAATTAGTGGACACAACAAATAGGATTAAATCCCTAAACCCTTCAGATAATTGTCATACAAGACTATAAAATAAGTATGCTTAAAGTGATTGAGAGAAAGTAAATCAAAGATTTGGAAAGGAATCCAATAAAATGTATAGAAATGGAAAAAAAATCATTTTAAAAAAGCAGTGAATGGGTTAATCAGAAATAATTGAAGGAGGAATAAGTGACTAGAAGAGAGAAATTATCCAGAATGCAGAAAAGAGAGAAAAAGGAGAGAAGTCTTTAGAGACACAGAAGTTGGATGAAATGATCCAACATGCCTAATAAAAGAAAAAATAATATGGGAATAAAACAATATTTGAAGAGATAATAGCTGAAAATATTACAGAATTAATGAAGGGTAGAAATTTTTAGATTTAGAAAGCCTAATGGGTCCCAAGCAGGATAAATTAAAAATTAATTCTCACTTAGACACATCATGAAACCAAAGAAAATGACAATTTTTATAGGTAGTATCCTACAAAAGTACTGAAATAAGGTTTTAAATGTTCCAGTAATAGTGATAAATTTTCACTGGTCTATCTGTATGTTCACTATCAGTTCAGTTTGTGATTAAGAGTTTCACTTTGTGAAGTATTTGATAGGTTATTGCCATGGAGCATTAATGTCTATTAGTAGCTCTTTGAGGAGAATATAAAATATTTCTTTTTGTGATTAGTTTTCTTGAGGGAGCTAAGGAAATGTGGCATCAAGAAAGTTATGGTTCAATTTCTTCCAAAATGCATGGGGACTTTAAAGTCACTGATTAAAAATAATAGCAAATCTCCCTGGCCGGTTGGCTCATTTGGTTGAAGCATCTTCCCATTCACCAAAAGAATGAGTGTTTGATACCCGGTCAGAGCACTTACCGAAGTTGCAGGTTTGATCCCCCATTGGGAAGGTTACGAGAAACAACCAATAGATGTTTCTCTCTTTCTCCCTCTATTAATCAGTGAAAGTATATCCTCAAGTGAGGGCTAAAAAAAAAATAATAATAATAATAGCAAATCTCTTTGAAATTTTACCAAAAGAACCACCTTCCCCCGCCACAGGCTTTCACTCTGCTCTTTTCCTTTGTGTGTATGTATGTGATTCAGAGGTGTCTAAAGAACAACTGTATTTGCAAGTCACTTAAAATGGTTTATTCATGTTATGTTTAAAAAGGAAAAGGAAAAGAAACAACCCACTCTGCTTTCTTTGTCTAGTTAATTAGCATTTCTCCTTTGATTTATTCCCCATATTGCTGCACCAGCTGGTCAGCAGACTAATGGGCTCTCCATGAAAATGATTACCTCTGTAATTATTCTCATTTTTCCCCATTGGTCACCTATTTTGATGTGGGCTAGAGTTAGGCAGAAGGAAATCTGCATGCTCCTGACAGGTTAAAATTTTACTTTGAAATATTCTGACTTGGGCCTCTACTAGCATTAATCCTAGTTCAGCTTTCGAGTTTTGTGAGTTGAATGTTCCCTGGTCATTTAATCTAAACAGCTTCATTTATGAGATGTGTGTGTGGGGGGGGGGCGGGGGAGTGGGGAGAAGAGACGAATTTCAGGCGTTATTTCGTCAAGCATATACACGTTCACACTGCTTTCCCAAAGTATGTAAAACCTCTTCATAATATCCTCAGCTTATTACTAGATCTCCTTTCTAACCATTTAGATGTGTGTGTTTATGTGGGTATGTTTGGGGGATGTAAAACTTTAAGCTTATAATTTTTTAGCTTCCAGTCTCTTTTTGGACATTCTTTATTGCTTTAAATATCTTCTAAAAGCTTCTCTCCTTACCATTCAGTTATGAATTTTAAACTGGCAACTTTTTATGTTTGCAACTGATGTACATGTTATTTTATCAGGACATACATTTTTAGCAAAGAAATGTAATCAACAGGCTAAGTTTTCTTTATAGTCATTCATATTTAATATATCATGAATATTAAATTATGTTTGTATTTGTTATTTAGGTGACTATTATATGGTTAAAAAGATTTTGGAGGAAAACAGTTCAGGTGACTTGAACATAAATTGCGTAGATGTGCTTGGGAGAAATGCTGTTACGATAACTATTGAAAACGAAAATTTGGATATACTGCAGCTTCTTTTGGACTACGGTTGTCAGGTACAACGAGGCAAGATAATATTATGCCGTAGCTTCTAAGTACTGTTAGATATGCCATATTTTCTTCTTTTTTTCTAGTTTCCTCTCTTCCTGCCTCTGTCTTCTTTATTTCCTTCCTTCCTTTCTCTCACTTTTTATTTGGTTTTGAGCCACAAAAAGTTCTAAACACAAATCAAAAGCCTATTTTTCAAAGTATAATATTTTGACGTGACTTATTTTTTTTCTTCCAACTTTCAGCCCCCCATCTTATGTATTTTACAACATCTGACAGAAGTAAATAATGATGACTTATTAAAGATGATTTTGTTTTTATTATTTATATTACTATAATATTATATGTGTATAATATATCTAAAATTACACAAATGTTCTAGAAGTGTCAGGGGGAAAGATTTTTTGTGATCCATATAATTTACAAGCATAAGAACAAAATGCTTCTGACTCACAGTGCAATTTTCAATTTGACTGATTTTCTCCTGTTTTCTTACATTTTCCTTTTTGCCTGAAATTTAATGTTCACTTTTAACTAAAGCCGAATGAATTTTTTTAAACTGGAAAATCCTGGCTTTTCATATCTTTATCAGTTCAGGTAGAAGAGCAGACATGCCTATAAGTCTTGAAAGAATTCAAGTCAAGAGATTCTGAAGGGAATTTAATAATAATATTTTCCTTTTCTTTTTAATTTGCTTATAATGGGACTTAGCACATGAATTCTGGCTCTTTTTCAAATAATATGATTGCTCTGTTGTAACTTTAACTTAATGAGTCATGTATATATGTATTTTGAGTGGCACCGGGAAGCACTCAGAAGACTTAAAAAAATATAAATAGGTTAGTTATGTGTACAACATGGTACTGTGTCTATGTATATGTATTTAGAATAGAAAAATAAGTCACTTTCCCAGCAATTGCAGTTATTCAGAACATCAGTGAGACCCAGGAAGTAAGTAAAAAATACCTCTGAGCAGCCAGAGTAGATGCCCTGAAGTTTCCCACTTACGAACTTTAGTACTTCTGGAACCCTTCTTCAAAGTCCGTCTGCTCACTTTAGATTCCACTTTAACAAACTTAATTACTTAGTTTTCTAATCCATAGAAAGCAGTGCAACAGAAGGGGTACGAGGACTGCAGTGGAACAAAACGAGGCCTAGTACCTCTGACTATTTAATAAAAAGATCAACATCATTACATGTATGGTAATCTCTGAGGGGGCTATATGTTAGAATGATAATGTTTATAACAATGGTCCGGAGTCAGTAAGGAAAACTTAAATTATATTCAGTGCCAATTGTTTTAGAAGAAAGAAGAATATATATAGTACCTCAAAAAGCAGAAAACTTCCATCAAAATAGTTTAAATTTCAAAGTTACACACTTAAAGGCATAAGCTTCAGTTACCTAGACAATAAGGTTATAAAGGAAGTCCTGGATGATTCTGTATAAAGGAGATATTATGGTATAATAATCATTTTTATATTTTTACACATATGACTTAATGTGTATAACCTGCAATATATACATGGTTCTTTCATATCCCTGATTACATTTGAACGTCATAGCCAACCTATATAGATGTTACATTTTTATAGATCAGAAAACTGAGGCTCATAGACTTTAATGAATTGCTCAAAGTTCTAAAATAAGGCAAACTTAAGATATAATCTGATCTTCTGACTGCAATTTTCATGCACTTTTCAATTCATTGTGTCTTTCTCAGGTTCTATTTATGCCCTATCTATCAAACAGCAAATATCCAAGGCCGTTGATTGGTTGTGAAAATGGAAATGAATAAGTAAAACATGAGTTCTATATTAAAGGACATTAAAACTAATTGGACAATGAAAGTACATATGAATTTCAAGTAATTTTAAAAAGCAAAAGTGTATTTGATAAGTGCTAAGTGGTAATACTACTTAAACCTTGTATGTTGCTTTGAATGTTTTTATGTATTTTATCTTGTATTATACCTATGGCTCTCAGCTGGATATTTGCCAGTGTCTGGAGACTTATTTGGTTTCACAGTTAGGTGGTAGGTTACTACTGGCATCTGATTAGTAGAGACCACAGATGCTGCTAAAGATCTTACAATGCCCAGTAAAGTCCCCACAGCAAAGATTTATCTGGCCTAAAATATCAACAGTGCCACTATTGAGAAACCCCATTTTATACTTAAACTTTTGTGGTTTACAATAAATATTTCGGAAACAGAAAAGAGATCAGTATGGATTGGAAGTTATCAAGAAAGGTTTCATGGAAGAATGTCAGTTGAGCTTTGAAATCTTAATAATTGCCTATATGTATATGGTACTATGTGCCAAGAACCTTAAGTGTATTCAACTTTCTTAATCCTCACAGTAGCCCTGTGAGATAGTTACTATTATTATCTCCATTTTTATGAAGGAGGAAACCAAGATACAGAAAAATTAAGTAACTTGCACAACGTTACTGTATAAGTAACAAACCTAGAATTTGAACCCAGGTTCTGGCACCAGAGTCCATGCTTTTACCTAGTACCCAAAACTACTCTAAAAAAATGTGTAGATAGGTCAGGAACAGAGGATGTGGAGAAGAATGAGGACTGCAGGTGTAATGTGTAGCCTTGAGACAGTGAATCGATTTAGCCTTTTTTAAACAAAATGTTTGGGGTGGAGAGTAGTAGGAAGTACCTGGAAAAACAACTAAAAGAAAACTGATGAAAATGGTCTGATTGCCATGCTAAGGAATTTGGATTTTATATGATAGATAGTGGGGTCATGAAATGATTTTTGAGGAAGAATGTGATGTATACAGTGGTGTTTTAGAAAAACTGATGTAGTGGCTGTGTTCAGTATATATGAGAAAATGGAAAATGGGGAAGGCTGTAGCTTCGGTGAGCAGTTTGTAATCCAGACATGAAGAGGTTAAAGTCTGAACAGTAATAGTGGCTACAAGAATGGGGGGTGGGGGGCAAATGGCAGATGTGAGAGAGATTATGAGGCAGAACTGATCAAATTTATTGAGTATTTAAATTTGGAGAAGAGAATTGAGGAGTAGTCCAAGATGATTTGTAAATCTTAAAAATGGGCGACTGGGAAGAGGAAAGAAAGTAGGAATAGAAGAATAGAATAGAAGCCAATCTTAGGGCAGAGAAATGTGAATTCTGATTTTAGCCTTGTGTATTTGGGGGTCATCAGGCAGTCTCCAACAGACAGTTACAGATGAAGATGTCATCTCTAGGGAGTGGTCAGGCTGGAGAGATGCAGCAGTCGCGGCCAAGGGGAGGATCCCGCCATCGAGAGGGGGTGAAATCAGAGAAGAGCAGACAACGGGCACATCATTCTCAGGGAACATCTGTGTTAATACAGGGCACTAGAGGGGAAGGTGCCACTGAAGGGTTAGGACAGTGCGGCATTGTGAGCAGCCGAAGAAACAGTTTTATTTTTATTTTTTATTCTCACCCGAGGACACTTCTGCATTTATCTTCAGATAGAGCGGGGGTGGGTGGGTGGGGGGGAGAGAAACATTGATGTGAGATAGACACTTTGACTGGTTGCCACCCACACAACCCCAACCGGGGCCAGTGACAAACTGCAATGGAAGTACGTGCCCTTAGCCCAGCGGTTCTCAACCTGTGGGTCGTGACCCTTTCACAGGGGTCGCCTAAGACCATGGGAAAACACTTATTTCCGATGGTCTTAGGAACCGAGACACCTCTCCAGGCGGGACCGCCCACAGGCAGATACGCCCACATACAACACGAGGAGCCGTATTAAAGGGTCGGCATTAGGAAGGTTGAGGACCGTTGCCTTAGTGGGAACTGAACCTGGGACTCTCTGGTCCACAGGGAGACTCTCAACCGCTGAGCCAAACCAGCCAGGGTCGAAGAAATGGTTTTAATATGTTGCTTTGAAATCAAGGAAAATGAGGAAATTAAACATTTTTTTTTCCTTTATTGATTGTAGAGAGAAGGGAAGGGAGAAGGAGAGAGAGAGAGAAACACCAATCGAATGGCTGCCTCCTGCATGCTCCCCACTGGGGATCTGCCCACAACAGGGACATGTGCCCACCTAGAATTGAACCGGTGACCTCTTGGTGCATGGGTCAATGCTCAACCACTGAGCTACATCAGCCAGGCAAATGAGGAAATTTTGAAATTAACTTCAGTAAAATTAAGAAAATGGCCCTGGCCTGTGTGGCTCAGCAGTTAGAGCGTCGGCCTGCGGTCCAGAGAGACCCGGGTTCGGTTCCTGCTAAGGGCATGTACCTCGGTTGCAGTTTGTTGTCCCCGGCCCTGGTCGGGTCGTGTGGGTGGCGACCACTCGGTGTCCCTTTCACGTCGATGTTTCTTTCTCTCTCTCTCTTCCTCTCTCCCTCCCACTCTATCTGAACAAAAAATGGAAAAAAATGTCCTTGGGTGAGGATAAAAAAAAAGAAAATGATGTGCGTGAATTTGGGAAGTTTGACAAAGTGTGAGGAAGAAAACTTGAGTGGAAAGAAGATACCATCAAGTCAGGTTATCCAACAGTGAGGGAGTCTTTCATGTTTTGGGAGGTGGGGCTAGGACTAATATGTCTGTGAATGAAGGACCAAGGTCCTACAGAAGACAGAGAGCATTAAATAAAATAGTAAGGTGGACTTTTTAGCTTCAGAAAGAAGCAGCTTCTTACTCTGAGGTTCAAGGAGAGAGTATGGGAATTGTAGAAAATTCTGAGATGAGAATGAAGATAGCAACCTCATTAATATATGATAGATACATAGTTAAATATATTTTAATAAGGAATGATCAAATATCTGTGAGAAATTAGGAAGCAAAACTAATGAGGACATTTTATATATCTATAGATATTTTCTAAATAATTTAAAACATTCTTTTTAGAAATACCGTTGATTGATCAAATAACATACTATTTATGCAGAATAAGTCAACAGTAACACTTTATTTACATGGCTTTTTTACATAAGTATTTTTATGCCTGAAGCTTATTCTTTTAAGACTTGCAAGGTTTAACATGAATCTTTCTTTATTCTTTACCCAATAGTGTTTCTGAATATAATTTAACTTTATCATCATAAGTGGGAATTACTGAGAATGTAATCATTTTACTTTTATTCATGTGGTCTGAAACTAAGCACGTTCGTCCTAACATTAAATGGCTTCAGACTGCTGTGCGTTGATAATGATTTTGCTATACTGATATTTTTTCTTTTCAATGGTCAACTTTTAGCAGTTATTTTTCTTTCTCCCTACTTTGTTGGTTTTAATCTAGTTGTTTTCTTATTCAGTAAAGACCTGAGGGGTATTGAGAAAACCAGATATCCATCATTTATAGATAGCTATGTCAGTGTGGTTGAAGCAATTCCTTCTGGGAAATAATGCCCATGACATTAGTTTGTGACCACTCAATATGGTTTTTGGGGGAAATTTGCAGTCGGACTCATTGTTATATCTCAGATGGTTGGAGTTGCTCGGTATTTTGACATTGAAAGCAGTGGCATTACTATAGTTAGCTTTATAGGTTAAAATTTAAAATCAGAAACAAAATGTTAAGTAGTAAGAAACACATGGTTCTTTTTGTTTTATGCTTCCCCTGACCAAATACAATAAGAACTAAAAACCCAAGAGAAATGTTTACAAAGCAGAAGAATAAAAATGCTAGACTTTAAAGAATAGGCTACAGCTAATGAAGCTTAAAATTTTAGGGGTTAAAATAATGAATTAAGTTTCTTATCAGGGTGTGGAGTTTTCCTGTGAGAACACATAGGTAGTTCCTAATAGTAAATATGGCCCCCAACCTGTTTGGGGTATGCTTAGTCCTATTTTAATTTTAATTTTTAATTTTTTAATTTTTTAAATCTTCACCTGAGGATATTTTCCCACTAGTTTTCAGATAGAGTGGGAGAGAGGGAGAGAGAAATATTGATGTGAGAGAGACACACCAATTGGTCGCCTCCCACATGACCCCAACCAGGGCCGGGAATTGAACTGAAACTGAGGTATGTGCCCTTGCCTGGAATTGAACCTGCAACTCTTTGGTCCAAGGGACGAAGCTGTAACTGCTGAGCCAAACTGGCCACAGCTAATTTTTAACTTTTAAATTGATGTTAGAGAGGAAGAGGGAGAGATAGAAACAGTGATGAGAGAAAACATTGATCGGCTGCCTCCTGCACATGCCCCCTACTAGGGATCAAGCCCAAACCTAAGCATGTGCCCTGACTGGGAATCGAACCAGTGACCTCTTGGTGCATGGGATGATGCTCAACAAACTGAGCCACAACACCTGGGCTAGTCCTATTTTTTGACATCCAGATAACGTGTGCCATTTTTAGTTCTACTTTTTGACATCTAGATAAAGTAGATAAAACCTTTATTTCTTCCAGCTATGAAAAATATTAAGATCTGGTATAGTTATATTTTTAAGAGAATATTGATTTAAATAGTTGATAAAGATTATAACAGTTTAAAAATATACAGATTGAAAATAATAATCAGGGCATTTTCTTAGATTAAATCATTATTTATCCCCATGTTTCCCTTCTCCTTTTATGGTTTTTCCTTAAAAAAACAAAACAAAATATAACAAAATGAAAAGAAACCCCTATCCTAAAAAAAATTGTATGTAGACTTTGTTACAGAATTGAAAACCTCATTTCCTCAGCCTCTAATTACTTTCTCCTCCTATAAAAGTTGAGGCTTGAAAATGAGCTATAGTTTGGGGGTAAAATCACAAAGTCACTTTTCCCTCCTGTCTCTAAGGGCATTGGTAGCCTAGTTCTTTGTGGTTTTTACTTCAGTAGATCATTGATATTCATTTCAAACTTGTAGCATTTCAGTCAGACGTGTATGTTTTCAAGATGACAAGAGAGGGCGCCCCTTTATTTACATATTTTCCATCGTCTCTCATGGTTGCATTGATGATCAATTTTATTAGACTGAATACAGTTCTTTACCTATAGTAATAGTTCTTGGTAGTTTCTTTTATAGATTTGCAACATTAGGGTTCTTTTGGTCCAAAGAGTAAGGCTCTTGAAAAATATTTTCAGCTTTACTGCATAGAGCAGCACTGTTCCATATAAACCCTTCTATCAAGCATTCATTGTTTTACCAACTTATACGCTGAAACAGGACAGAAATGTGTGTGTTGTCTTACACAGAAGTACTGCCAAGGCAATAAAATGTACTATGTGGACAGTCTAAATTTTTGAAAATTCAGTATTGCTGTATATAATACAGTTTAAATTAAAAAAAATAATTTTATTTATGAATTAGTAAAATAAATACCTTTTTATCCTCCATTTTTATTTTTAACTTTTTTTTTTTTAAAGTCCACAGATGCACTTCTGGTGGCAATCGACTCTGAAGTAGTGGGAGCTGTTGATATACTACTTAATCATCGACCAAAACGATCATCAAGACCAACTATAGTAGTTAGTACTCTTAAATGTTTATTAATTTGGATTTTTAAACCAAAATAGATCTCCTGCCCCATTGCCATCTTTTTCTTCCCCCAAATTCATTTGTCTTCAGGAAGTAGATTTCTTTTACTCTGTGAAATATTGCTTTAAAGTAAGTAGGCACTTGCAAGAATAATACTGCTTTCAGGAAACCTTTTTCAAATTAATGATATTTCCATAATTTTTTCAGTGTGGACCAGTACTTTTAGTTTGGAACATTCTGCAGGTTAAGTTGAAGATACAAATTAGTTTCAACATGAACTGAAGAATTAAATATAAATAGTGAAACCATAAAATTGGAAGAAAATGTAGGTGAATGTGTAACTGGGAGTGAAGGGGCTTTCTAAGTGTAAAGTGGTGGCTGATAGAAGTCGGGTTTCTGGGGCTTAGGCATCAAGTGAAACTTAGAAAGCTGATTGGTAACTGGCAAAAGATATTTACAGTGTATATCACAAGGTCATAATCTTTTTTTTTTTTTTTTATCCTCACCCGAGGATATTTTTCCATTTTTTGTACAGATAGAGTGGGAGGGAGAGAGAGGAAGGGAGAGAGAGAGAGAGACATCGACGTGAAAGGGACACATCAAGTGGCTGCCACCCGCAGGACCAACCAGGGCCGGGGACAAACTGCAACCGAGGTACGCGCCCTTAGCGGGAACCGAACCCGGGTCTCTCCGGACCTCAGGCCGACGCTCTAACCGCTGAGCCAAACTGGCCAGGGCACAAGGTCATAATCTTAATGTTAGACAAATTGTTGAAAAACATCAAAATCAGAAAAGAACATGAAGAAAACCTCAGAAAAGAAAATATAAAATATTAAACCTTACTTATAATCAAATACAAGATACTAATATTTACTTATCAAATTAGCCAAGATTAAAAATAATAATAATAATGATAATCACTGATGTAAGGGAGTAGTCAAGTCTCCTACACCATTGGTTAGGGGAGTGTTTTGAATAGCAATTTGGCAGGATGTGTCAGAAAAAAAGATGTTCATATTCTTTTACCTAGTGCTTCCTCCTCTAGGAACTTACCTAGGAAATGGTCAGAAATGTGGATTAAAATGTTAATTGTAATCTTACAAAACCTAAACATCTCAAAATAGAGGGTTGGAAATATAAGTAATTACTTATATATTAAAATGGCATTTTTAGAGAATACTTAGGAACATGGCTCAGTATGATATAGGAAGTGGAAAAAATGAGAATAAGTAAACTGTACCTGTAATATGATCCAAGATTAAAACTATGCATAGAAAAGGAACTGTATGGAAATGTAGCAAAATGTTACTTACCTAGTAGCAGCCATGTCATTGCCAAATTAAGGATTTTTTTCTTATTCTTTATTTTTCTTTATTGCTTTTGTAATTAGGGAGATATTCATTAACAATCAGATAAGTTATACTTTAAAAACGAGATACTTGTTGTATATCAAAATTTTTAAAATGACTTTATTGGTGAGGGTGTAGTGAAACAAGCAGTTTAAATAACTGCTGGAGAGTAAATTGGCCGTACTCAGAAGAAAAGTATTGTTTAAGAAAGGATTATAAATTGGTTGTAGGTTATCTGGCATTATTTGAGAACAATGAGAAACTCCACTAAACTGTTTACTTTGTTGTGTATTAACTGAAATATTTTACTCAAATTTAGACTATTAAAAAATTTGTGTGTGACTTTCTATAGAGGATGGTATCAACTAGTTTAACGTGGTAAGAAACCAACAGGAACAGAGAAAAAAAGGGCTAAGAATATAGCCCCTGTCCAAAGGATCAGAAATATCTATAATCCTGTTCAATTTCCTGTCATCTATCCTACAGTTACTATTATATTTTGGTATATTTATTCCACCTTCTAGCCTTTAAACCCATTTACTTTCTTGGTGGGGAGGTGGGGTGTGCCCTGCAGGGTATTGGAGCAGCTGACTGCTGTTAATTTATCACCATCACCACTACCAATTGAATCCTGGGTTATAAGGCTGTGGTAGTCTTCACCTGCTCTGTTCAAGAACACTTTCTACTTTATTGCTAACAAAAAAGGCTTTGTTTAAATTCTTCCAGCAACTGCAAGATCAAATTTTAATAACCCTATTACTTCTAGACAGGCAGTGTCAAATATTTTACATACTTCTTTTTAACCATTTCAGTAAATTCATTCTGTATTGTTGGCTTATCAAAATTGTCTTTTAACAAATTTTGACTTTCAAATACATTTTTTTAGCATGTAGATTATATTATCAACAATGAAATTATGAACTTTTATCTATCTCTTACAGTGTTTTCATATAGTTAAATATGTTTCATAGGAGAAATGAGGACCATTTTTCTCTTAAGGGATTGAATTCAGTTTTCCCCTCTTTATAACCAATAATAAGGGGAAAGGGCTAAATTTTTAGATTTCTTTGTAATTTTAAATAAATTCATTGATTTGAAATCCCCACTAAATAACTGGAAAGTGTATAAACAAACTATTAAGAAAAGAGGGCAAAAAAAGGCTAAGTATGTTAAAAATATTACAATTTACCAATAATCAAAGAAAAGTAAATATTTCATGATTGATAGTTTCTTTTTATTCATAAATTAGGAGTGATCATGACTAGTGCTGATGAGTAAACCTTAAGAGTGAAATGGGTACATTCCTATATTATTGGTAATATAAACTATTAAAGGACTTTGATGATATTTATCAAGAGCTTCAAAACTATTTGTGGCCTTTTGATCTATAATTCCACTTCAGGGGTTCTATGTTAATGAAATAATCCTAAATTTAAAAAAAATAAATTTATTCATAAAGATGTTTGTGATAGTGTTATTTTTTTTATTTTTATCCTCACTGAGGACATTTTTGCATTTATCTTCAGATAGAGTGGGAGAGAGAGAGAGAGGGGAAGAGAAAGAGAGAAACATCCATGTGAGAGAGGTACATTGACTGTTTGCCACCTGCACGACCCCAACCGGGGCTGGGGACAGACTGCAACCGAGGTACATGCCCTTAGCCGGAACCGAACCTGAGATTCTCTGGTCCACGGGCCGACGGTCTAACTGCTGAGCCAAACCAGCCAGGGCTGTGATAGTGTTATTTAAATTAGCAAAATAAAATATCTTGAAATTCCTTACATTACATGCAGGATTCTGTACATGAATATTTTCCAGAAGATTCTGGGCTCTAGCTTTCTGAGATTATTAAAATTGTCCTTGATTTTCAACCTATTAGGGACCATTGTTTTTAATGGTCCCAAATTATTGGTGCCAAATCATTTATGCCAAAGATGTCCTTAAAAGAAGGTGTAATAGAGAAAGGACCAGAAACAAATACTGTAAAATGGTTTTCAAGTTGTAGAAATTATGGGTATTTGTATTCTTCTTTCTGCTTTTCTGTATTTTTCAGATATTTTATAATGTGTGTGCATCACTTTTACACTGTTAATAAAAATTATAAAACAAACTGTGAACTTGATCAGCTTATACTATGGAATGAAACAACTCTCAGGGAAACCTCTGAAAAAGTGATAACTAATGGAAAGACTGTGCAATAGTCATAAAATAGTCAACTTTTAAATTTAACCCTGATTCTTTATTTGCTAATATTTTTTTCTTTGTGTCATGCCGTCATCAGGCCCGTGAGCCAATGTATGAAGGAGCTCAGGCTCCAGAGTAATACAAATCTGGGTTCGCTCTCCAATTTGCCATTTTCTTATGTACCATAGGCACATTAACTTCTCTGAGCCTCAGTTTCTTCTTGAGAATTATTCTGCTCAATTTTGCAAGGTATTGTGGAGATTCAATGAGATGATAAGTGTAAAGTGCCTATAGTAGCTGTGATTGTTAGTGTTGTTGTGCATTTGTAACAGAAAGTAATATAGGTAAAGATTGAGAATATGTAGAGAATTTTACAAAATAAAGAGTGCTTCCTATTGACTTATCCCTTTCAAGTAGCTTCACTGCTATCAATGTGACATGGTTTGCCACAGGTAGAATTTTTAAAGTTTTTCTCATGCATTTATGCTCTGCCTATTTTATATTCTTTTTCTAAAATTCTTGTTCTCTATCCTTGTCATGTGTGTTTCCATAATCTTTTGAAAATTAAACCCTTTTTTATAATGTATTTCTCTAAATATCCTGTGTTAGGAAAGTAGAACTTTAATTGTATAAATGTTTTCTATTACCGATTTTGTTTATCACAATTATATTACATTTATTAATTAAAGTTAAGTTTTGGGTTTCAAAAAAATTTTTATCTGGCAAAATGTTTATCATATTCCTCAAAATAATTATGTTCTTTTTGCCTTCCAGTTTATTTTATTTTATTCTACAAATAACTATGTTTTTTGAAGTCATAAATAACTTATGAACATTTATATAAATATTTTTCAGAAACTAATGGAACAAATTCAGAATCCTGAGTACTCAACAACTATGGACATAGCACCTGTCATTTTAGCTGCTCATCGTAACAACTATGAGATTCTTACAATGCTATTGAAGCAGGACGTATCTCTACCCAAGCCCCATGCGGTTGGTTGTGAGTGCACATTGTGTTCTGCAAAAAACAAAAAGGACAGTCTCCGACATTCCAGGTTAGAAAATTAAGGTGTTTTAACAAATATATGTTTGATGCAATAAGATGTAGATTAATTAAGTTTTTTTGTTTGGTTCTTTCTGTGTAGCTTTTTTTTTTAACACTCATTTTTATTGTTGAATGTATTACAGATGTTCCTCCTTTTTTTCTTCATTGACCACCTCCTCCCTAATCTTGCCCTCCTCCTGCCTTCCCCACACTATTGTCGGTGTCCATTGGTTATGTATATGTGCATAGAAGTTCTTTGGTTTATTTCATCCCACCCTCTCTCCCCCCTTTTCTTTGAGGTTCATCAATCTAACAACAAATTTGTACTTCTTAATTCCTTCATCTTTTTCACACATCCCCCACCCCGACCCATCTGGCAAGCAACAAAAAGTTCTCTGTATCTATGAGTCTGTTCCTGTTCTGCTTGCTAATTTTGTTTGTAGATTCAATTGTTGATAGATATGTATTAATTACCATTTTATTGTTCACATTTTTGTTGTTCTCCTTCAAGAAGACTGACCCTTCAACGTTTTGTTAATACTGGTTTGGTGGTGATGAACTCCTTTAGCTTTTTCTTGTCTGGGAAACTCTTGATATGCCCATCAATTCTAAATGATAGCTTTGCAGGACAGAGTAATCTTGGTTGTAGGTTGTTGCTTTTCATCACCTTGAATATCTCTTGCCACTCCTTTCTTGGCCTGCAGAGTTTCTTTTGAGAAATCAGCTGACAGTCTTATGGGAGCTCCTTTGCAGGTAATGGACTGCTTTTCTCTTGCTGCTTGTAAGATACTTTCTTTGTATTTAACCTTTGGCGTTTTGATGATGATGTGTCTTGGTGTGGACCTCTTTGGGTTCAACTTGTTTGAGACTCTCTGTGCTTCCTGGACTTGTATGTCTGTTTCCGTCACCAAATTAGGGAAGTTTTCTGTCATTATTTTTTCAAATAAGTTTTCAATGTCTTGCTCTCTCTCTTCTCTTTCTGGCACCCCTGTGATGCAAATGTTGGTATGCTTGAAGTTGCCCCAGAGGCTTCTTACACTACCCTCATTTTTTTGGATTCTTTTTCCCTTTTTGTTGTTCTGGTAGGGTGTTTTCTGCTTCCTAATATTACAAATCGATGGTTTGCTTCTTGGCTTTACCTACCTCTACTATTGATTCCCTCTAAATTATTCTTTATTTTAGTGCACCCTTCATTTCTGACTCGTCCTTTTTTATGTTGTTGATGTTCTCACTTAAATTCTTTGGAGGTCTCTTTAAGTTCCTTGAATGTCTCACTAAGTTCCTTGAGCAACTTAAAACCAGTGTTTTGAATCTGCCTGTGATTGATTGCTTATCTACATTTTGTTTAGTTATTTTCCTGGAGTTCTGTTCTTTCGTTTGGGACATATTTCTTTGTCTCCTCATTTTGGCTGCTTCCCTGTGATTGTTTCTATGTATTAGGTAAAGTTCCTATATCTCCTAGGCTTCCTAAGGTGGCCTATTGTTGTAGGGATCCTGTAGGATCCAGTGGCACAGACTCCCTGATCACCGAAGCTGGGCCCTCAAGGTGCCTCCCTAGTGTGGACTGTACACCATTCTGTTGTAATTGGTCTTGATTGCTGTTGGCCCATCAATAGGAGGGATTTACTCAGGGTGATAAGCTGCAAGGACTGGCTGTGCCCACTAGCCAGTGAAGTGACCACCTTGGAGGATCAGCTGTGCAAGACTTACTTCAGCAAGACTCTGGTATCCACTGAGTCCACTCCTTGAGTGTATCACTTGTGGAGGTGGTTGGGTGGTGATCTGAAGCTGTCCATTGGGTGTGCTGGCTCTGGGACAAGGTCAGCCACTGCCTGTGTTCTATCCAGGGCCACCCAGCATAAACTACAAGTGATATGTAGATGGCTGCTTCTTGTGCTGGGCTTGGAGTTGTGCAGGAAAAGCCAAGTTGTGAACCAAGGCTGGTTGCTTCTAGTGCCAGGTCTGGGACCACTTAACGAGAGGTATGGTGCTTGCTGAGACCAGATGCTGCTTGTTTGAGAAATTTCAGGAAACTGTGAAGCAGGATCCAAGACAGGCCAATCCTATGGTAAAGCCTTTGGAAACAGCTTGGGTGGGCCTGAAAGTTGGGTGGGTCGGGGCCTCAGGGAGTCACCACGGCGGGGCTACCGGTGTGAGCCAGGTTGCTGGAGTCCCAGATATGGCGACTGTCTGCCGCCCCAGGGAAGGGCTCACCAAAGGAACAAAGGCCTCCACCAGCACGTTTGTCTCAGAGAAAGCCCCCTCTCCAGCGCTCACTCCAGTGCCAAACAGCTCAGTTCTTCCCTGTATGTCTCTGGTGCCCCTCGAGCTGCCTCCCCTCCGAGCTTAGAGGGAGAGAGTCCGATAAGTCCGTGTGCGGGCCCTTTAAGGAGCTGCCTGGGGCTCCAGCCGCCTCGGCCTCCCTGAGCCTCAGTTCCCGCTGGTTTTCCAGCCAGAAGTGATGGGGATTGTCTTCCTGGCACTGGGACCCTGAGCGGGGCACCTGGTGTGGGATGGGGACCCCTCAGTCCTCAGGGAGGACCTTCCCGGCCGAGGTGTCCTCCTGATTTTTATCCGCCACACGTGGGTGTGGGCCCAGCTCGTCCCCTCCACCCCTCTTCCTAGTCTCAGTGTGGCTGCTTTAATTTTGTAGTTGTAGGACTGCCGTTCAGCTCAATGTTTGGTGGTTCTGAATGATGATTGTTCTGTAGTTTAGTTGTAATTTTGATGTGGTTGTGGGAGGACGCGATACGACATTTACTTACCCACCATCCTGACCGGAAGTTCCTTAAAATCCTGTGTAGCTTTTAAGAACTATGGCACTGGGATGACTTATGAAAGCCAAACTTCTAGCTCCTATGCTTAACACAATGAGTTCTACAATTTTCAGAAATGTTTCCTAAATGATAAATAATTAGGAAACTTCTTCAAATTATGAATAAGTTTTATTTCATATTCCTGTCTATGGGGGCTGAAGGCACTACTTGCTTTTTAAAAGCAGAGTTTATTAGTCTGAGAGAATTTCCAAGTAATAAAAGGGGTAGAGATACTACTTTTTATAACAAAAATCGTTTTCTATCTAACTAAATATCAACCTGTTATGCCTCTTACTTCCTCTCTCACACAATACATATAAAAGTCTATTTCTCTTCCTATTCTTCCCAGTTGAAAATAGTAAGAGTGAATAAAAAAGGAAGTAGTCCGTCCTGGACAGGTTGAGCAAGATCATACATGTTGAATAAGATATATGGTTCTGGGCCAGATTTGAAATTGTAATTTTCAGCATAAGCTGCCCCCCAACCTCTCCATTGTATCAAGTATAGTATTTACTATGAAATATGTGGGCTGAAAGTCCCAGGCAGACCACTGACAAGCTGTTTTTTAGTTAAGGCTTGTTGTACAGTATATGGAAATGAGCTTTAAAACTGGAAAATATCCCCCTCTTCCCTCACCTTAAGAACAGATTTTTGGTGGATTATTGGTCACAGATCTATAAATTGGGAATGTCTCCTGGAAATTAATTTAATGTTTATTTGCAGAGGTTGAACTAGAATTTTTTTCTATTTTGAAGTCTGTTTTACAATGAAATCTATGTTTCTGTTTGATAAGATCTGTTTGACAGCTATTATTTCACTTTTTAAATTAAAAATGACAAATCTGGAAAATGACAAGAAGAAATGCTCTTTAAGTCTTCTTCTAGTTTTAAAATATTTTCTTAATATTAATTATAAATATTTTTCAAATAGTATTTTTATTAAATATTTGTAGTTGAAGCAGCTAGGGTGGCAGGTTGGGGCTCGAAAGAACACTGCCCGGCTTGTTTTGAGGTGGGGAAACTTGTTCTGAAAGCGTGTAGAGAAGCTACAGCTTGAACTCAGTCTGTAAGTATGAATAAAATTTAAAGGTGAAAGGCATTTTATGCAGAAAGTACAATATGTAATTGTGGTTTATTTGGAGAACTGCAAATGGTTTGGTCTATCTACAGAAGAGTTTGAGAGCTTGTTATTGGTGTTTGAGAAAAACAGTTATAGGAAAGGTCAAAGGGCCCGACTAAAGTCATTTTCAGGAATTGCTGAGTAGAGCTGAAGAAGAAAAGGAGACTAACAAAACAGACAAAAAGTGATATGGGGTCAATGAAGTTGAAGAGCCAATGTCTGCATTAAGGAACTGAGGCAATCTGTATTTATAAGATACTGGTTTTCTTTCTTTCTTTCTTTCTTTCTTTCTTTCTTTCTTTCTTTCTTTCTTTCTTTCTTTCTTTCTTCTCTCTCTCTCTCTCTCTCTCTCCTCTCCTCTCCTCTCTCTCTCTCTCTCCTTCCTTCCTTCCTTCCTTCCTTCCTTCCTTCCTTCCTTCCTTCCTTCCTTCCTTCGTACATGCCCCTAGCCTCTAGGGCCTAGCGGGATCTGAACCTGGGACTCTCTGGTCCACAGGCCGACGCTCCAACCGCTGAGCCAAACCAGCCAGGGCAGATATTAGTTTTTAAATTTCAGAGATGGTGAAGTTGTAGGTGAGGATAAGGTCTAGGGACAATAATTTTAAATGGGTTAGGGAAGGGCAGTGGGCTATTGAGTTTAGAAAAACATTTTCAGTAATATAATTGCTGTGATTTGGTTTTAGTCTCAAAATTTGATACAATGTGAAATTTCAAATAACTTTAAGGAATATTTGAAATATTTATTATTTAAAGGAAGGCAATTTTAAAAAGTTGAGAAACATTGAAATTGGGAGAAATAGCAAAGTAATGGACTGCTATTATATGTAATTTGCAGAACTGCTATCTTTTATAATTTTGAATTTGAATGACTGTAAGCCTCATGTACACTCAACTTTACTCATGTCATTACACACTGTACCCCTGAAAGCAATTGAATTTATAAAACCAGTACATATCTCACAAAACACTAGGATGTGGGCATTGAGGTCAGTGATCTAAGATACTAGAATAATCTTAGTTATATGGAATTCTTTTATTTATTAAAAACTATTTATTTTAGCTGTGGCCAGTTTGG